ATGACTTGGAGGTGGGCCTACATGGACACCCGGAGATGGAGCAACGTATTCGGGTTTGCTGGGGTCCTGTTGGATATAGGCAACACACAACTACTGCATGTCCTTCCAATGTCTTACTTTCTTCATATGGCCTTGAAGCTCGGGACACCCGTAGTAAATGTCCGTGAGAGGCTTAAACAACCTACAGATCGACTCAAATAATCGGGCCTTCTGCAGACATTTTGGGAGCTTAGTACCAATAGTGTCCACGGTTGTATCACCATCAGCCATCCATTCCCATAAAACCCCTTCAATGAACGTACCACCTGGAGCAGCATTTGGGACTTGTTTACTAAACCCAGGGGCTAGAATTGCTGCTACATAACACAAAAGCCAATTGCCGAACCCATTGCAAGGAGGGTTACCACCGTTCAATTCGTGGTATCGATCGTGATTGACTAGGCAGTGGCCAGCCATCTGCCTTGCAAGGATTTCGGCACCTATGTCCAACTCTTGGGCCTGCTGAAGCAAGGATTGGCCTTCAACATATAGGGCGGTCACGCTTTTGATGATCCGGTTCAAGGATGTCTCCTCGGACTGACTTCCTACCATGCCAATCTTCTGCACGGCCCTTCGATGCTCCGGCCTTAACAACCTACTACGCGGGGACAATTCCGGCTGCACAGGCATGAATATATCCACGGGTCTAGGCTGCTCCGTGTGGGATTCGGCGTTAGGCCCATTATTAGACACCGAGCTAATATCATTTGGAAGTCTAGCAATGATGTTCTGCAATACTACTGGACCCTTATCTGAGTTTTGCTTGGTATGTCATTCGCTGCAGCGGTTGACTCACCTTGTGTCTTGACCACGTCAGGCGTATCACCCTCTTGACTGACCGTCTGCAGGTGGTTTTCAGGCGGTACCTGAGTTTCCACTTGCACCACTGCAACAGACTGCTCCTTTTCTACCTCTCTCTGATTACTCTCATTCTGCAAAGAGGCTGGATGAGTGCAGAATGACCTTACCGGGGGGTCAGGTGGTGTTAAAGGAGTTGGAGTCGTTTGCACCTCCGCTGAACACAGGGGCAAGGGATAATTTGAACGCCTCCAGGACTCACTAGGCAAGCCAGGTAATGACTAAGGCGGGGCATTGGCTGCATGACTACCACCTATCCTTGCTGAAGGCGTAGTAGGGGCTTCCTCAACCCTGTAGTTACCAGCCGCCCCTGCTTTTCTGCACACGTCACGGGCTGCCTGTAGTGCCTGAATCTGCCTTTCATACTCAACCGACCTTTGCTGCACGTATTGCGATCTCATCGCCTTCAAAGCCGCTCTACCAATCATGTCAGCCTGTAGTTTGAGATTCCACAAGCGATGTTCATCAGTAGTCATCTGGCGATGCTCAGCCGGATACCACGACTACCGATCTTACCAATACCACCTACTACCGGACCATTAAAAAACATACCCGTACCTTCGGGAGTACCCAAACCGATCATTTCAGGCTGAGTGTCTCGCGACCAATTGGCAATTGGCACCGGGTCCCAATCAGGAACGCTGCAGAGCTCCTCCAGAGCTCGCAAGACCACTGACGGTCGAAGGGCGTAGAGCTTGAGTAGATGGACCTGACTGAATAGGAGCCGTTACTTCGAAACCCCTATCACCCAAAGTATCACCAGCCCTAACTGAACCCATAGGATGGGGCATATTACCACCGCTCACCATAAAACTTTCCGGCAAGACTCCGCCAGAGTCTGCACACTGACCACCAACGGTCACAACGGGGCGTGAGGCATAACTGGGATTGCGGAGGCAACCTGGGCCAACATTACCTGTGGAACACCGACTACCTACGGGGTTTCCCGGCCCACACTGAACTGCCCCTGGGTGTGGCGTGCACATACCACTTATCCCATTAAACCATTGTCTGGAATGATCATCGGACTGACACTGCACATCCACCATATTCGGTGCCGAGGCCTGGCCATAAGCCTCATTACCGGTAGACGACGCAAGACGATGCAACACTGGTAACCACCCTTCATCCCCAAGATTCATATTTGCAAGAACCTCAAGAAGAGGGAGCCTAGGTCCATTTGACACGTACTGGAGTTGGTTGAGCAACGCTTCAAGCTCACCCGAACCATAACCTCCGCTAGCACTAAGACCAGGGAACTGCGCAACATTCCCGGCGGCTAGCACTTGACTTTGTGGGTTACCTCCCACTTGAACACCACCAAATGAAGGTGGTAACGAAACGTTACTTGTGTAGCCCTGTCCGTTCCGGGCGTCCCCTTCAAAAGACCTGGCTCCACTTGGATTGCCGTAATCGGCAGGCAGTGCATACCCTACAGGAACTGTACGGGCGCCCTCCGCCAAAGGACCACCCATGCCTGGAGTACCACTACAATTCATAGGACTGTGACTGACTGTGTCACGACTTCAGGTGCATTAACATGCGAACGTGTTTGTCCAGGGCTTCCGCCAGAAAACCCAGAAAAGGAACCACCCTGCGCGTGTACCGTTGGCTGTGGACCTTCCCGGTCTGTAGGACCTTCCTGGCCTGTATGACCGGTTGTTGCACCGCTATGCTGGGGAGAAGCGCACTGTGTGCCCGTCATTGGCCTCATCACCTGCTGACACTTGGGTTGCCGCAAGTTGGGCACTTAATCTGCGGTGAAGCAACAACACGGTCTTTTCACTATGGCGCACACGGAGGTCTCTACTGTCCTGACTAAACACGCAAAGAACAGAAGAACAAACAAGAAAGATATAACAATTGTGTATGTACATATTACCTTTACACTGACCACACGAATGTGGGTTTTTCCGGTGATCCAAGGCTTGAGCCAAGTACCCACGCATACTACACATGTGGCACATGCACACCTGTTCATGTATATGCAATTACTATTACTATTACTATTCCTATTACTATTGCTATCACTAGTACTATCACTATGATTACTGCTATTACTATTGCTATTACTCTTACTCTTATTATTACGATTACTTTTACTTTTACTATTACTAATACTATTGCTATGACTTTTACTTCTACCATTACTACTACCATGACTATTATGATTACGATTACTATTGCTATTCTATTGCTATTGCTAATGTTACTGTTTATTACTGCTACTACAGGGGGGGGAGGCGTGGTGAGGGGGGGGTGAGGAAAGGTGGGCATACGGGTCCTCTTGCAGAGGGTCCCCGTCATCAAGGTTGCAAGTGCAGCAAAACATGAATGTACGTATCATCTCCCTGGCAGTGAAAAGGACATCCGCCCTTCCACAACTATACCGACGTAGCGGATGTGACATTTCCGATGGCAACATCCTAATCCCATGAAGCCTTCAGTCGGGCAGACTTCAAAGTCCAGACATGTTGCACACTGAAAGCCCTCCTCATCCAGAGCAGCCATCAGTTTGGCGGACTCAAAGGATTGGAAGACCCGAATTGTCAGATCGGATATCTTTGGTGGTAAGTCCGCACGTTAGATCAGAAACATGCAGGCAGCGCGGCACGGTTGACGGCCCTCTTTTCCTCTAAAGGTGCGCCTGAGTCCTAGTGGTTGCAGCATACAGGCCATGAGCATCTATACAGCATCGGCTCACAGCAGCTACCTAAATAACGGATTTTCACCCAATAGTTCTCGTAAACTGGTTCACGGACTTCTCGGGTGGGGGGAGGTGACCACCACGCCCCCCCTTCATGGTAGGAAATCCGAGGAAGTCTGCGTGCAAACCATTGACAGACATGGCGCAAAGACTAAACACAGAAAGGTTCTGGTGTGCAAAGGGATCAGTTCAAAGCCGGGACCTCCTATGGGAGCACATTCATCACGATGACAAGATTTGCGCGTGGTAAGCCAGGCAAGGTCATGAAACTTGAAAGAGACAGGATTGAACAAGTGCCATGTGGCAAACAGCATGAAGCGTAGCGGCGCTGCTCACAAGGATCTCACGCCAGAGGAGAACATGCATTAAGGTTGGAATGAAGGATGGGAATCTACCCTGAGCGAGAACTGTGAAGCTAAGCATGGCAAGGGCCGTTCACGTAAGAAAAGGACTCTGCGGCAGCCTCCATGATTCATGAGAACAATCGAAGTCATGGTCTTGTGGTGAGATCTCTGCACTTTGATGAACAGGATTCATGAAGGGCGTCCAGCTGAAATAACGTGCTTGAGCGGGCTTGAAGCTTCCCAGATATTTGAAAGGCCATGCACAGGGTGGCAGCGAAACTTGTATGGACATATACGCTTTGAAACGAAAGTGATGAGGGCGGAAAACACCATGAAAACCAACGTTATTATCAGGGAGATCCTTCCCGCGTCATGGCAGTTTCATAAAGATGGCCATGTCGCATGGTAGGACTGCTTAAATTTTTTCTGGGGCAGCACATGGCTGCATCGAAGCTCTGGATATGATCTAAATGAAGGCTGATAGTTCACATGCAAGAGAGTGAAACTGTTTGAGAATTCTTTTGAAACAGCCTGCGGTAGATGCAGAAGAAAGGCCTCGGCTTTCATGATTTGAATTTTTGAAGTTGCGTAAGGAATGCTTGCTTTCACTGAAGAACGCAAGCCTGTATTCTGACGTATTCTCCTACAGTATCGGGAGCATTGAGGAGCTGCCAATGCTTCAGGGGATTCAGTCTGTGGCCTGATTTTTTTTGACAGGTGCTTGAGAGGACATTGGAGGGCTATTGTAAGGGTGGATGCATGCAACAAAAGTTCCAGTCCTGCGCGCATGGAGTTTTAGTACAGAATTTAAGCACGGCCATGATATTCGAACGTCCGGATGAAACACCGTGGGAGCTTTGAAGGTCTCTTCCTCGCGCTGATGCAGGAAGTTTGGTGACCTCGTTGCTCCCAGCTTTGTGCTCCAGTGGCACATACGGGTCTAGAAGACAGCAGGCAGAGCTACAAAGCAGTCTGCAATCTGATGCAGCGTCTCGCTTTCACACGGCAGCCAGCGCATCCTTCCTGCGCTGAGGCCAGCGCCCCCACGATCAATGGCTTTAACAAAATATCATGTCCTGTTTGCCTTCGAAGATCGCCACCTGGCGGATGACAGCCGCAGGGCCTTCTGGGACTTCCCCTCACATAATCAAGTATGGAATGTTGGAAGCTTGTAGTTGGGAACGTTGTTGTGCTGAGTGTCTCTGAGGATGGGTTGCTGTCAGCCGGATCACTCACGAAGTTCCTTGGTGACAGCAATTCATTCTGAGACCCGAATGCTGAAGCTTTCAAAGATTGCGGCATATTCAGTGCAGGTCGTTCAGCAGCAAGACTGGGCCATGTCGACATATGGGCCACTTCGAAGTCTGGCGAGGGACCAGCATGGTGAGAGGCTGTGGATCTGCTCAGAGCGGCATGCCTTTGAACTACTTACTGAGAAGGAAGACAGACGCTGATTCGAATTAGGTGACTTTCCAATCATGTTTTCGCTATAGCTTCTGCTAGCATCCATGGTGGGAGTCACTTCTCACGTAAAGCAGCTGATAGATATGCTTTTGTTGTTTTTTCTACGGCTCAATTTTTGTCCTTGAAGAAGGGGCTCTGTAAGTCACTGTTTTGGTTGTCGCTGGCCTTTTCTTATTGGTTGCTGAAACCCAACGACCACTGAAGCCCGAACCCGAGCAGGATGGTAAAGTCCACAGCAAAAGCTTTCGCTTGTTGCTTGCAACCTTTGGAGCACGTTGTGCTGACGCAGCAGGTGTTCCCTGACTCAGGAAATGTTTGGGCCTTGCTTTTGAGACTGGAGCAGTTCGATGATGCGCTGGCCGCGTGCTCCGAGACTGCAATGCGGTGCAGCTCAAATAAAGCTTATTGCGGAAACCGTAAGCTGTGAAGAGCTGTTTGCACGAGGCAAGAAGCAGTCCGACCGTATGCGTGTGCTTGCGGCGCACGCGGACTCGCTCTTCAGGGAAGGAGCTGGCATCGAGTCTGCGAGGCGATGGAACCAGCACTGACTGCTCTGTTCAGCTCGAAGCTGCATTGGCAAAGGAAATTCGCCCAAGCTACCGCTGTACCGACGCGGAGCTGCAAGGAGCACTATTAGGTGGCTGAAACCAAGGGCATCTAAATCTCGTGATGTAATTGGGGGAGGATAGCCAAACTCTCCGCAAGGTTTGAACATGTTGCCTTGCGGTTTCTGGCCGGGGACATGAAGGCCGGCCCGTGGGGATGCTTCCCAAAAAACAAAAGTTTGCGTGGCCAACTGCTTTGTTGCTGCATCGTTGATCTGCAAGGCAGCACTTGTGGAGTATCTGCGCTGTCGGCTCAGCAGAGCCAATGACCAGGCGGCTTGAAGCTCTCGACGATGCTTGGCATGTCGAGCTGTTCAGGTGACACGAGCTTTGCTCTACTCCTGGGCTGTCGAGATCTCACTTGCAGCCCTTAACGGTTCACGCCGCCTTTCTGCGCTTATGGCCCTGCACTGTTGCCAAGTAGCTGTACTGAAAAAAACTTGTCAAGCTGCGGGTTGAGAAACTTTAGAAACTGGAAGGTGTGTTGGATTCAACTCGTCAGATGCTCTGTCTGTGTCGTTTTCATGGCTACGCGCAGGCTTTGCAAATACGTTGGGTTCCCGTGGCCACGAAGATCGGCAAATATTATTGGACCTTCTTAAAGAGAGCCGCGATCTGGACGTTGCTCGCAAGAACAAAACCTTTGTACTTGACAATGCTTAAAACCCACTCCTGAGGTTCATGCCACCATCTACCACTTGCTGCAGAGCCACGGTTGGTTGGATGAATTGGCTCAGTTTGCAGAGATGCGACGGGATTTCACGACTGCAGCCTGGTTTTGACACACAAGAGATAGGGCTAGATCAATAGCAGTCCGTCTGGTTGGTGCATCTTCAAGGCACTTCTGAGACCAGACCATAAGTGAGGTTCAGTTTCGTCAGACGTGCATGAAGAAACTTCATATGCATACCGCAGTCCGCCTCATGCTCGCATATGAGAGACCTTCGTGAGCCAATTGCAGGTAATCTTGCACCACGTAAGCCGGCGGGATTGCCACAACGCCGTCCAGAAGCTCGCTGAATTCAAGGGCGCTAGTGTACAAGAACTGGACTTTTGCTTGCAAAGTTGAGTTGGTGCCGGCGAGATTCAATTTAAACCTAGACAAGTGCTGCCAATTAATCACGTGGGGTATGCACAGGACACCATCGCATTGTTGTGACAGGTTGGCCGTTTTGCTCCAGTCCTTTTTGGTGCTGTTCCCAAAGAGTTCATCTCGCTCCTCCTGCAGATGTCGAAGATGGACCCGCTTGTAGTCTTGCCAGCAATATTCTCGCCACACGCATCGCCTACTCACAGGCGGGGCCACCAACAGCTTCGCAGACTGTTCATGCTGTTGAGAGCAGTCCTGGTTGGAGTTCCTTTGCAACCCACATGCTTGCTTGAAAGCGCGGGAAAGTGTCTAGCCGCTTTTGCACACGTAGCGTCCATGAACCACCCCTCACTGTAGCCAAGATCTGGGCAACCCCGCATCCCGATTTTGCCTGAGGGCAGAGGCCATGCGCTATTTGGAGCACGCAGCCCGCCAGACAGCAGAATCCCCCGGCCAAGCTGACATGCGAAGTTCCTTCCGTGCAGGCCTTGACGAGATGAAAATAAAGAGAGAGATAGAGAAAGGAAGAGTTCCAAGCACAAATGGTTTCCAGTGTCGGGAGGAAGTTTGCTTCAGAATTTGGCCAGCTGCGTGGGCGACGATGCTGCTTTGATCACTTCACAGCGTTTTGGTTCCTTGACAACATCCAAAGCCGGGCTGCCACATGAAATCTGCAGGGCTTGCGCAAAATTTCATACATGCTTGCAAACCTCAGCCAGCACAGCTGATAAGTTGCGAGTCTTTCAGATTCACAGCTGACGCTGCTACAGGAAGTGCAATGTTCAGTCACAAATACTTCAAGTGCAGCACTAAGAGTCGCAATGGCATTGAGAATGGAATTGCTTTCAAGATGAGGGGCTCTTTGCAAGGCTGAGTGCTTGAGGAAACAGACCTTGCCAGCAAAAGGTTTGGGGCACAGACCCTTGATTGAAAGTGTCTTCTCAAAATCAGTAATCTGGAGCTTTTCTTTGTGCCGCAACGGCTGGCAGTCAACTTGACAACATGGCTTCCAGCACCTGACCACCTCGCTTTCTGAGCTGTGAATCCCATCCCGCCCTTTAATTTTGGGCTCGTGGGGCATGCACTGCCTGAAGGAAGCGGCGTTTGTGGGTTAGCCCTTGCTGTCCAAGGCTGGGCTACAAACACTGCCATACTCAACACGCTCATTCTTTGTTCAGCTGAGCCTCTGGAAGAAGCGCTTCCTCCCGAAGGTAGGCGCAAGTCTTTCGCAACGCATGTTGCATTATGTCAGTGCAGCTCCACATATGCGCGAGTTTCGCTTGATGTCAGGTGCGGAGTATGTCGTTCTCGATGCAGAAGGGGCACTCTTACGGTGTTTCGACCAAAGACAAGTCACAAAGGCTACACTTCATGAAGCATGGGAGATTGAGACACCAAGGTTTCTTGCAGCAGAGGAGCGCTGAGAAAGCAGTTTGCAAGCATGCGAGCCCTGGCATTCGTTCAGTCAGGAGTCCAATCCGTTTCTGGATCCCCATTTTGCTCTTCGGGTTTGTCGGCAACAAGGCTTGGTAAAAGCGCAGGTGCTCCTGTATGGAGTCATGGGCATGCATGAGGCCCGGAGTTGCGCTACGCAGCTAGGACATTGTAGCAGCCCACAAGCAAATGAAGTGCTGCAGGAGGCGGTTGATGTGGCATTGCAGCATGAAGATGTTACGTTGGCAAAGCGGAGCGCCTGCAAGCCTCATCTGTCACAGAAGAGACTACGCCAGAAATTGTGGCTGCGCATCGTGGAACATCAGGCGCGCCGTGCTGCCATCATCCAACTGCTGCTTTTTCACGGGGACTTAGACCTTTGTGGTGCCGTGCTAACCAAGGCCACAAGCTGCGACGTGCCCAAAATCATCGGATTGATCCGAGAGTCGCAAGAGCTTACAATCCGGGATGTGCTGCCGTATCTGTCGGACTCGATGACAATAGACGCCTTCAAGACTGAAATTTGTGACTGCCTAGACTCCTACGAAGGCCTTAGTAGTCTGGTGACCTCTGCCAAGTAGCTAGCACTTTCCTTTGAAGCAGCCTGCTCGCGCCGATGGTTGCGAGGCCAGATCGTGACGTTGCGACAGGCAAGGCAGCAAGCTAAGTGGAAAGCTACCTGATGAGCGAGCACCAGTGATTCGAAGCTTGCTTACCACAGGAGATGGATGATCACCGACGGGCACTACAGGCCTTCAAAGAGGATCTTAAGCAAGCAGAGGAGTCTGGGACCCTGCAGCAAATTGGCATGGGTTTTCATTTTGAAGCCAGAAAAGCAAGCTTGCCACCTAAGGCGGTGCATCTTCGTAGCTCGAGATCAAGCCTGTGAGCTGTGTGGTGCAGACGTGGTCCGCGAGCGTTTCTATGCATTTGCCTGCAGTCACTGCTGCCACGAAGCCTGTATCCGTCGCCCGGCACTGACAGCCTTTGTTGCAGGTCGCTTGCGAATCCTTGGGACTCATTGCTGTTGAGGCGCGCTGATCCTCCCTGCACTCTCCGTTGAGAAGCGTGAAGAAGTGCTGAAGCTCGAGGATGGCCTGAAGCTGTTTGTCTTGTGAGTGACCTTCCACTGACTGTTTGGTTTGTGCCCTGTTCATGTGATGCATGAAAGTGTACCCGGCGGCAAACTCATGAGAGCCAGCAGACTGTTCAAGCGTGGTTGTGAGGCAGCTCGTCTACAGCATCAGGCGCATCGGAGAAAGAGGGGCTTTTCCCATGCAGTATTTTGCCATTCACAAGACCTAGCAAGCAGTGCGAGAATTGTGAACGTCGCCAAAAATGCCATTTTACATATTCTTAGGGTCCAACATGTTTGAGACATCTTGCAGCTCAAGCTATATTGCTCCGCATGACTGGGGAGCAGCGTCACACTAGCAAGCTTGCTGTGCAGGCAACGGCGGCTGGCGCACAGCCTGCTACACAAATGCCAACGCCGCTCGCAGAGGCTGCTTAAATCTGACTTGATAACGCTGACTTGCCAATGGCCCTTCATGTGCAAAATGTCAGGTGGAAGACAAGCTTGACGGAATTCTTGCTGAGGATTGTCCACTGTGTGGCCAGCTGATGATCGACACAATAGAGAAACCTTTCATTGATTCCGCGGAGGTGGATGAGATAGAGTCCTGGGCTGTAGGAGCAAATGCTCCACTGTAAAAAGCTTAAGTTGAAAAGAGTGCGCCTGCGCGTTGGGCTCTAGATTTGCAGCAGCTCTACTATCGTTGACACGGGCATAATGCAAATAGGGATTGGATTACCATGGATTACCTCAGTGCCGCCATCCCTTATGTGAAAAAGTGTCCCGCGAATGGAAGGAAGCAAGTTCAAACAGCATCTCATAGCCTACAGCGCATGTCCTACAGACCACAACTCTCCGTCAAAAACTTCACAGATTCGTACTCATTTTGCAGGCTTCGGTCACGAAATTCGATCTGCCATCATGTGTCCCAGATATTCATTGTAGAGGCAAGCACGAACAGTGCTTGGGAGGAAGATGTGCTCCCTCAACCTGCTTCTTTCCTTGAGGATGCAGATATCGCAGAGTAGTGGCACGGGGAGTAGACTGCGAAGAACATGACAACAACGACCACGACTGCTGTTATCATTTATGTGCCAACTCTCACATAGGGGTGGTGGCGGTGGCGTGACGGCGGTTGTGGTGATCGGGAAGTGGCAGTAGCTGCCCGCACCGTCGTGGATTTCAGAACAGCAAAGTTCTTCGCTCGATGCACAGTATCAGGTCTACAGCATATCATGTAAGCTCAAACGTAAAAAACTTCAAACAAGAGAATGCAGAGCTGTTGGTCTTTGGTGCAACAGCACACCCTTCTGCTGGTGTAGTCTGACACCATACAGTTGGTGCGTTGTGAACAGCAGCCTTATGGTGAGTGACGCCAGTATGCTATGCGGGCGTATTAGGCATGCCGTGGCCATGGGGTGCCACGCGTGGCATTCTGCTGCAATGCCGCAAGTTGCACACGAGGCACACAGGCGCAGGATACCTGCACCGTGCCCCGACGGCAGTTCAGATGCAGCTCGTGTATTTGCTTGATTTTCCCGAGCGAAGATGATGAAAAAGAGGTGTGCGCAAGCTATCAGGAAAGCAGCGGCTGCACGAGCTGAGTGTATACCGCGCAATTGGCACAGATGCAGTGGAGACCTTATTGTGCAGCAGCTTGGCGAGAAAGTTGTACGTGACGGTGTGTTGTAATTCTTGCGGGCTGATGGCCGCTGGTGCCGGGTATGGGTGGTCTGAAGAGCAGCTAGATCTCTGACCAACTCGATGTGACAGGTAGACAGACAGATTCCGCTACCCCACGAAGGCATCATGTGAATGTAGCACGGTCAGTATTTCAAACAGCGACGCTATAGCCAAAGACCCCAGACAGTACATGGTGGCATGCAACAGTCGCCCACCCCTCAGATCAGGACGCCATTCTTCTTCAGCACGTCCAATGGAAGAAAGCACGGGGAGACGAGGAGTTTCGCAACCCGACAAATGCCACCCGAACGGAGAACCGGGAAAAGGCAACGCATGTAAAGGTAGACGAAAGGAAGCAAGGGCTTTGAACCCGGCAGCGGCCACCCGCATGAGGGGAGACAAGGGGAGACAAGGCGCCTGGGAAGCCAGCAACCGCCACCGACAGGAACAGAGACAAAGAGGAGACAAAGAAGCCCCGATCCCGGCAGCAGTCACCTTAAACGAAAGTAAAACCGCAACAGTACTACTGTTCGGAAGAGAAAGAGGGATCTCATGTTTGCTGCGTGAAGTGTTGTAGAGGAAAGGTAAGTCCTGTCTGGTTCAACAAACACAAAACATCACACAAACCGACTGACCTACCGCTTGGTGCAATTTGCAGCAGACCCGGACCTTGAAACAATCCAAAAGCTCAGTGCCCTTTGCCGCGCCCAGGCAGGTTCACTAAGATCGATGAACTGGCAGATGCGATCCATCAGCAAGTTTTGAACAACACGCTTGCTGTGGTGGATTGTACGGACCTTGATGCGGTCTACTGGTCGCTCTTCGCTCTAGCACGAGCAGCACGTCGGTGGCAAAGCCAATCCGACGCAGAGCAAGGTTTGTCCATGGTACCAGAGGAAGTCAATGCATCACCTGACTCGCACACAGCTTGGGATGCCAACCAGGACAAGTTGGTAGTGAGATTGTTGGTCGTGGTAGGTCACCGCTCCTGAATGTGCATTTTGAGGAGACAGTTCATCCCAGGCTTTCCATTGTTCCGCAAAAGCTGGACCTGCGCGAGGGCACAGAGCAGTTCGTCATTGCCCATGCGCCACAGCAAGACCTTTGCACACTCCTGCTGGAGAGCACAGCTAACCCAACAGCTAGCGAGTCGAAAGACAAACCAAGTTAGTACAATGGTGTCCAGTGAGTAGAAATCTTTGAACAACTTGCGCGGCATCCTTTTTGATTCTCTTGCCCTCCTTTGCTGGGGATGATGAAGCCTGTTCTCGTAAAGCTCATCAGGTGCTCTGAAGAAGTGAGTTTTTGTGGAGCCGTGCGCGCAGCATCTAAGTCTACAAACACAGCCTTGGCTGCTGGACTGGTCCTCGAGCGGCTGCCAGATCAAGGTGCTACAGTGCTACATGGAAACTTTCCTATTGGATGTGATGACTGCCGAAGAAAAGGGTTTCTGATGCTTACAGAGCAGGGTTGATAAACTACAAGGTTTGCCTGAATGGTTGCAATTGCCTCATCGCAATCCAGCATTACCGTAATATGGCTGTAGTCAAGCCACTGAAGCCAGTGCGAAGTCGCAATTGTTGAGGTACTTCCTTCGTTGCAGCTGGTAGGCCAGCTGTGTCGAAAGCTTTCAAGGCCGGAGCAATGCAGGCAGTCCAGAATGCAAGCATCCTTCACTTGGTGCGATGTCAACATTGCAAGCAGAAAGCACAGGTGCTTGTGACAGCGAACGAGTATTGGAAGAGGCATGGCGACGACGATTTCTTGGCAGTCTCAGTGGGCCTCTCTGCACGAAACGAAGGCCACAGAGGCGACTTCGCCGCTTTGTCAAATTATCCTTCCTTCTTGGCATGTTGGCAAGCGAGAGGTATGCCACTTTTAGGGGCAATGGCAGTGCTTCCCGCCCAGGTGGTGATGACCTGTGGGCTCATTCGGGGTGTTTCACCTGCAGCTGGGGCGCGTGCAACAGACTGTTCTCAATCGAGCGCTGCGAAAAGAGAGGCGCACACCCAAGTATGTTTGGCCAAGTGCGGGCGACTGCGAGACAAGTGTTGCAGCCAGCCCTCCCTCGCAAACTCGCAAAGCAAACCCAAGAAGCAAGCTCTGGGCCATGTGCATCCCTACGGGGGGACATGAAAAGTTTGTGCTACTGAATCATCCATTTCGTTGGCAATGCCACTCGCTGATTTTTTGTCATTGGCTTGTGAGAAGCCATGATAGCCCAACCGAAGTCCAGGAAAACTGCTCCGACATAAAGATATTTCTTAGTGCAGAAGCACCTGTCAAGCTGAGTTTGCAAACTGAGGCATGTTCATTCGTGCAGCGTCGTAATTCGGACTTGGCCATAGTTACTTTTTCCGACATGTACATGTCGCCAGGAACTTTGCTCGCATTGCGACAATGCCAGCTCGGTACAGCATAAGCACCTTAAAAGGTCTCTTACAGTAGCTCGAATCCTGAATGTTAGCATTCACCAACAACATTTGGCCATAGCAGATGGCTATCTTCGGAAGTTTCAAGTCAAGAGACATGGCAGAAAAACACGCATGCCAGCACATTTGCCAAAGTTAGACACCTGCGAGAAGCAATTTGTGCAGTCTTTGGATTTTATCGTCTTTCGTTTTAAGCTCTTACTTGCAATTCAAGCTGTCATGGTTGTCATACCACCGGCCCCACAACCGCCGAATGATTGGAGTTTGGGCAAGGTGGCCCAAGAGCGGCAGCTACCGGCACAAGGCGCTGAGGCACCTCAGCTTGCTTGCAATTTGCTCCAATCAGCTCGTTGCAGGCCAGCGCTGGCCGACGCACCGGCCACCCATCCTAGAAAGACACTGGGCTTATGGGACTTTTCGGATGTCCTTACCAGCTAATGCACGTGCTGGGAGCAGAAGATCAGCATGGTTTTCCCCGCAGGTGTGAAAGTCTTATCGCCGCTCGCCAGCAAGCTTTGAATGTAGGCTGATTGATGTGAATCAAAATCTGCGGTGCCAGACGGTGCAAACACCAAAGCACTTGCAAAGCACCCACAGTGTCCAAGGAAAAGCTAAGGTCCGACTTTCCAAAAACTGATATTTGGGACGTTCCATACCGGGCGCGTTTGCCTCTCTTCCGATCTCGTTGCTCAATCTTGGGCTTACTTTCTGTGGAGGTGCTGAAGCTTGGGAAGTCAGCAGTCTTTTATGTACCAGTTGCTGTTAGGAAGAACAGGAACGGCAAAGAATTCGCAGCCACTTCAGTTGCGCTGCGCAAAGAAGTTTGATACCATGCAGTGTTTATGAATTCGACTTTCCGCTTTGACTTGTGATACATGCGAGGAGGATGGTGGCTGCAAATTGGCTGAGGAGTTGGCAGAGGGTTTCAGTTTTTTGAATTGCTGATGGCAGAAATGTCGACATGACAAGCCATTTAAATCATAAGCAGAGTTGGCCGCAGCATGCCGCAGCCAGTCTGTTGGGCTTTGCTGTGCCAAGGCAAGGATTTTTCCTAGTCCCGGCGGCCTGGAGTTGACCGCCCAAATACTCACTTCAGCTGCTAACTCAATGGCATGCGTTGGTTCGCTTCCTGTATTCGCCTCACAGAGCCTGGGAGCCATGGCAGCACTTCTTTATTTCATGGCGCTACAGACTTGGCTCTTGCTTTGGAATGCTTTGCAGCCATTGCACAGGTGTTTGTGTGAATCGGCGCTGCTTGGGCTCGCTCCTGACGCTAATACTGACTTCTTCCACCTGCACTTGGGGTGCCATTATCATTGACATTTTTCCCGGTTTCTCAGCTGAACACGTACTGCGCAGCATGTTCTCCAACTGACAGGGGCTTTCTGACAGCATCCGCATGACGAAGGTGGCGGATGGAAGCGTCTTTCAGGGCACCCACTGCTGGACGAAGGTGCACCAAGCCTCCTGGGCTTTCTTGGAGTATGGGAGTGCCTACTGCTACACGACCGCAAAATTACTGCATCTCACACACTTCTTGTTTCCATGCCGGTTGCAGATGAAAGCTGTGCCAAGCTGAGCAAGGTTGGCCTCAGTTTCGTTGCAGACAGCTTTGTGCTTGTCTGCATGGACCTTCTATCGGCTGTATCGTGAGCTCGGCCTATATCCCCCTGATGCTTGCTCTAGTTGACGTGGGTCAATGTTGTTGGAAGCAGGTTTCAGCAGCGCAGGTCGAAGAAAGCACCCACCTCTCAAGGCGGTTGTTGCCTGCAGTTGTCTTTTCTTGCAGGTGCGCTACTAGAGACTGAATGTGTTGTAAGGAACCTCGCAAAGGTCGAATTCATGCCGAGGTGTCTGCACTAGAGTTCGTTTGTGACCCTCGGCTTGAAGTGCACGTCTTTGGGTTGCATGCGCAGGCTCACAACACGCTTCTGACAATGCCACCGAGGAAGCAGAGGATGTAGCATTGCTGAGCGATCAGTGCAATGGCAATTGTCAGCGGGAGCCGCTTGTTTGGGGTCGAACCTGCCGCAAACCCAGCTGACCATGAAAATTGAGACTTTCCGGCAACCCGCTACATGCTCCACACGAACCTCACCACTTTGAGCTTCAATAGTTTCAGTGAGAGACTTCAGCCTGAAATAGCGCACCAATCGCCAACAAATCCTGGATAGGCAATCAGACAGCTGGTGCTTATGAGTTGTGAAGCATTCGGTAGCCTTCGCTGGACGTGCAGTGTGCTTGCCCCGTCAGGTCCTGAGACAGTGTTCCCAATGGCAGTGGCAGCTGAAGCTCCCATTCCTGATCCAGGTGTACGAAGAGGCTTCCAAGAGTGCGTGCTGAATGAGGATGTGGCATGACAGCATTGCATGATCCTACAATATGCCATTCTTGTTCATGACCCATCAACTGTAGCTGGCCTGCTGAGGATGTTTGGTATCCGTCTACATAGAAAATCCCAATTGCGGCGACAACGAGCGAGAGCAGCGAGGGAGCAAAGTTGAAGAAGATCTTTAGCCCAGCTACTGAGCTGCGAGCGGCTGTGGCGTTTGCAGACAAAAATGGGGGAATAGATTTGCCTTCACGTTCTGCTCATGCGTACCAAAAATTGTCACATTGCTTCTGGCGATGTATAGTACTTAGAATGATGACTTTCACTCATTGTACAAGGAGTCCTGAGCCAGCTTCAGAACAGCTGGCAGCCCCAGCGTGTCATATTGTAGTGGTATGCCGCAATCTAATCTGGATTTGAAATCTACGTTGCTCTAACCCATTTTATTGCCTCAGTTTAGGAAGTCGGTGTCACTACCAGCGCCTGCTGCGTTCAGTTATCCATGGAACGTAGCAGAAGCAAAGGATTTTCTTGAAACCTGTGCCGGCGGCTAGCAAGCGCAATGACAGTGAAAAAACAATCATGTGTTTATTCACATCACCAAGGGGGAGTTTGTTTTTTGCCCCCCATGCATTGCAATCTAAACATCACATGGGGAAAATGAATCTTGCATTTCAGGCTCAGACTTAGACTAGACAGCCTGGCTCTTTTCCGACCCAGTCCTGACGCCGTGAAGCGACCCGCGCATTCTCTCATTTGAGCCGAGACTTACGTTCGCCAGAGCAATTAGACCCCTCAAAAGAGGAAGCGGAAGCCTTCTCAAACAGCTTGTTCCCTCAACTTGACCCGTCAAAGGTCCAGGTAGCCCAAGGAGAGATCCTGAAGTGAAACGCACCGACTGGGCAACAGTTGGTGGTCCCAGCTGTCAATCCGGGGCATGCCCCTGCTGTCCAGCTACCTGAACTCCCCGACCGGGTATGCTTTTGTGACATTGGTTTGACTTTCAACCAGGCTTTTGTCCTAGATGGCACCAGCATTGCGGATTGGTTCGGGCACTCCGATGGTGGAGTAGCCCTCGTTGCAAATTTCCTCGAATGTTGGCAAGAATTAGTTAGCGCGTCGATTAGCCTGACCTTGACACATCTAGTTTTTCGTTTGTGCTTCATGCTCATGTTTTTCGACTTGCTTTCTTTGGTTTGTGAAGTATTGGGGGACACGCGAATTTCCCAGACATTTCTCCGAGCCCCTCTCCCACACGTCCCGACGGTGGAAGACCAGGGATGAAGCAACAGGCTACATGCGTGCATATCCGTTGGCGGCTAGGAATGCTGACAATGTTCTGAGATCCTTGTTATCCTTTATAGGTAAGTACACGGCAGGCCCTTGTGTTATTTGTAAGTCGGATCAGGCACAGGAAATCTTGACTGCATGCACCACCCTCGGTTTTACTTCTGAACCATCGCTTGAACGAAGATGGCCACGTAACAGCGTTCTTGAACGAGAGCTCAGAACGTTGGAGGAGGCGACAAGAGCATTGCATCTAGGTGCAGGTTTCCAATTGCATGAGGGGTTATGGGTGCACTCCGTCAGGTACGCGGCCCACACATTGAACCCTCACCACCCCCGCAGTCGGCATAGAAGGATGCAGGTATGACAATGCAGTTGGGGCACCGTTTGCAGGACAACTGTTGCAATTGGGTCAACTTGTCTACTACCGTCTCAAGCCAGGTGCACGCCACAAGTTCGGAGCTTCCGCAGCACCAGGGATCTTTGTGGGATGGCGGTTAGAATCAGGCCCGGGTTCATTCAGGAAAGTGTATCAGGTCCTCGATTATCACAAGTTGATTTCTCGCGATCCTGGGTTTCATTTGGCAGTATCTGTTCCACGGGAAGAAGTGCATGTGCCGGCTGGCAATGCCATACTGCCTTTGCATACTGCTGCTGAGACTGCCCTGTCTCAGTTCACAGCCCCTGAGTATGAAGCCCTTGGTTACCTGGAGATTCCGTTCTCAGTTGTGTCGCCCGAGACCTCAGCAAAGAAGAGACATGAATACATCACGTTGGATCGGTTGATCAAGCGTGCGACCCCTGGCTGCCGAGCCTGCAAATTCGAGACAACGACCAGGTTTGATGGTTAGATCAAGGCAGACAAGATTGCGGCAAGCAAATCCGTCAAGAGTGCTGTGCCCCCATCAGTTGAGTGCCCGGATTAGTCAGGCGTGTTCGCCCCGGCGTCCCCTGACCATCCCTCGGCTGCCCCTGCATCAGGCGAGGCCCCAGCATCCGAACCTGCTTCCGCTTCCGACTCACGTCCTGCGAGTAGTGCCGAGCCATCATCCGCAGCAATCGCACCTCCTAACCGCAACCTCCTGAGTTCACCCCAGAGTTCCTAGAGAAGGAACCTAACCGAAACCGTCGACGTAGGGTGAATCATCTGCCTGGTCGGGACTGCTAATAGAGTATGCTTGCGACGACGACTCCGAAATCGTAGTCGCGTGTCAGCGACACAAAGTCCATTGCGTTCGTCTGAAGGGCCACTCTAGACTTAACCTCTCGCGACGACATCGAGCAAGTTGCAGCACAAGTAATCCCTGGCATCGACGCGTGGTTCGCGATCGAGCGTACGCACTTTTCCAGCTGGCAAGCGATGAACGTGCATCTGCATGGAGCAAAATACGCGAAGAAGCTCGCAGAAAGGCAATCCCGCACCAGAAAGATGTTGTCGCATGCTCTGCAGATAGCTGACCACATCATAGCACTTGACGGAAGGGTCACCTTTGAGTGGCCGGCGAATGCTGGTCTCTGGGAGTTGCCGGAAGTCGTTGAGTTCATTGCCCGCTATGGCCTACACAAGGTGCAGTGCCATTGTTGCGGATTCGGCCTCCGAGGCAAGGAAGAGTACCTGAAAAAGCCCTGTGTGCTCGCTTGCAAACGACCGTAGGGTCTTGGCGCACTTTGGTGCGATGACCTGTCCGGGCAACCACCAGCACGAGCCTGTCGAGGGCGATGTCACCAAGTCGACGGGCCACAAAGGAAGCCAAAGGCCTCCGGGACAACGGCAGGTGGGATGACGACACTGTCACCACCCTTCCCAAGCTCCGGGCCGAGGCACGAGCAAAAGGCAAGAAGCTACGCGTGGCTGAAATCTTGACTTTGTGTGGCATCAAGCATGCCGAACTTGATGTTGCTCAACAGCGGTTTAAGGGTAGAGTCGTTTACAGAAGAGACAAGGTGTTGGATGAAAATCATCAGCTAGTAGTGTTCAGTGAAACTTCGAATAACCCAACAGCGCTTACGGTACTAAACGCCTGCCTTTGGTTTGGTTGCCTCCCAGACCATGGAGTGTCGTGTTCAGATGCAATCCAAGCTTACTTGCAGTCAGAGCTCCAGGAGGAGACCTACGTGGTTCTGCCCAGGGAGCTTTGGTTACCAGGGTAGCTTGAGAAGTTCGGAGTACCTGTCCCGGATCTTGATCTCCATGCACGGCAAGGAGTCCAGTGAGTTTCCGAGCAACTGGGTATTTGAATACCACGATGGAATCATTATCTTGAACATTTACGTCGATGATCTCACGTGTGGTCCAAAGTCCTTTCACACCGCTTTCTGGGCGGAGCTGCGCAAGCGAGTCAAGCTTGATCCAGAGGCCTTCGTGAATCCTAAAGAGAGTATTTTGGGGCGGTTACACTGTATAAGTCCGCAGGGAGATAGGACGGTACTAACTATGAATATGGTTGAGTACGCAGCCCAAGTGGTAGAAGCCTACTTTGACCTCACCGGCATCAGTCCCGACGAGCTTCGCAAAGTCGCAACTCTAAGTCTGCCCGAGAGTGCCATGACGGACGAAGACGCAGCCACACGGGGGCAACTGCGTGAGTCTGCTTCAAAGGTACTCATGAAAGCACTCTGGTTAGCCAGACTCTGTAGGGCTGATATTGCATTTGCTGTGGGAAAGTTAGCGGCTAGGGTTACTAAGTGGACGGCCTGGGAGAATAGGCAAATCTTCAGGCTAGTGTCGTATATCCACAGCACGAAGGATGTCTGCGTGCATGCAACTGTGACCGGTGAAGCCCCTGCAGAGCTTCATGCGTTCACCGATGCTGGTCTCTCCAGCTGCCCACACGCGGCGAAGAGCGCCAGTGGGATTGTGGTCCAGATTGCTACCGGATCAGGGCGATTTCCGGTTCTCTGGCAGTCAAAGAAACAATCCTCCGGTGCAAGATCCATGCCTGAAGCAGAGTGCATTGCCATGGCTTCGGCGATGTACGGCGATGTGATCAATCTTCAGACATTTCTTCAGGAACTCCTTAGAACTACGGTACTGGTAAAATTCTTTCAAGATAATGAAGCTGTGGTTAAGATTCTGCAGGCAGGATTTAGCGCGAAACTTTGCCACCTTTCGCGGGTCCATAAAGTAAATATCGCGAGCATGACTGAGATCTTGGAAGACCCCATTCGGCCCAGCCGGCCGAGTCTAATGGCTTGAAAAAGATCATCCCGCCCGTAGAGTGGGCAGGCATGATGGAGCAGCTATGTCTTGATGTCGTGCCTCCTGTTCCACGTGATAGCAGACGCCGAGCAGTACGCACGGAACATTCCTGTAAAGTCACTGCGCAGGACATTGTGCAACTCCTGTCGGTCCTTCCCGGGGAGTGCCCAGAGGGCAGGCATGCCCGCAGTCCAAGAGCTTCACCAGCG